GCTTTTGAAAAAGAATGATGTAAGTAGTGCAGTACAGACAAGAACAATAACATGTATGCAGTCCTGTTATAAATGGAAATGAGTAAAAACAGCAAACACTGATGTTAACCTACCATTGCATCATATTTGCTTAAGTAAACTCTAAATACTTTAAACACTGATTAGGTGAGCAATAAAAAAGACAACACAGGGATATTTATCTGCTCTAGCTGGTGTGAATGTCCTCAAAAATGTGAACTGGGATACACCAGTCTGAAATGGGTATGTATATTTTTTCCTGTACAATCCAGGTGTTTGGTACAGAAGGGAGCAGGTTACAGAAAGGCAACATAGCTGTGACTCACAGAGCAAATAAGAGAATGTAAACACTCAGTGACTCGTTTAATTAATCTATGAACTCATCTTAATTAAATTATGTGTATGGTTTCTTTATATAATACAATGTGATGACGCACATGCCGACCATATTACGTTATGGTTGGCTTACAACAACGTGATGTGTGACAAATACAAGGTAAAAACCAAGACTCTTTAACCCTACACTAAAAGGGATCAAAACATTTTGGAGGAATAATGTTCCATCCATCCAGCAGAGTTTCAGAGACTTTCAGAATCAGTGCCAATGTGTGTTCGGGCTATTCTTGCAGCAGGCAGTGGTCAAACAATAAGTGCTGATACTCTATCAGGACTTCAATTTGGTTCTTATTTCATTTTAAAATTGTGTTGAAGACAATTCCTAAGCCATAATGCTTTTATGAAACCACTACAAACCTTAAAGTCCACCTTTATGTCAGATTTTTTTTTGTGTTACTATTAGGAAAAGAGGGGAAAATGTTTTTTACCACAACATTTACAGCTCTCCTTTTTTCATGGTCTGATCACCAACTATGAGATTTGCATTCACACACGTACACACACATACACTTCTCTCTCTCTCTCTCTCTCTCCCTATGAGCTGTTGCTATAGAGACCCTAATAAAATTGTTAAACCCACTGAGATGTTTTTTCTTGCTCTGGTTTGAGTGACAAGAGCTACTGACAGAACACACATACCACTGGCCGCTGAGCAAGGCACTATAGCTAGTGTCATGTTTTTTTCATCATAATAAACAATTACAAAAGAAGAATGCACAACTGTACAGTAGCTGATGGTGCACAACAACTGTCAACTACAGTGGAAAGATTCATATCTGCAGAAAAGGCTACCATGGTGATTTACTATAATAGGCTTCATTTTATTTCTGTGGGAATGGGTGGGATCAATGTGGTCTTGCCAAAGAATGAACAAGGAAGAAAGAGGCTCTGTGTTCTAATCTACAATTACCTATGCTCATGCATGTGTCTGGTACTGACAACTACATGCAAGTGCAATACTGTACACGAGGGATGAGATTTCATGGCATAATAGTTTAATTTAAACTCTAATTAATTTGAATTCATGTGTAATTATAAGTCAACTGAAAACAAAATTAAATGAAAGTAATCTAAAACTGAACTAAAGAACCCATGGCCTGGTGGGGATTGAATCAGGATT